GGCAAGTACAACACACGAACGAAGCATTTGTGCCGACAAAGGATCAATGTCGTATGGCGATAGCTTCAGCCACTGCAATTATGCGTTGCTGTACTGATCCGGGTTGATTAGCCGGTGCTTTGTAAACAACACGGAAGCTTTGGCTGGGTATCACGTTTTGTGCATTGTATTGTGCATTGCATTCCTATACGACATCGCGATCCGATCCTTTGTCGGCAAAAACGCTTTGTTCATGTGTTGTACTTACCATGGTCCAACTCACATCCCCTCACAAATGCACCTTGTGCGGAACACACAACTACAGCACCTCCCGCGCTGACAAGCTCAAGTCATCCTATTGTTGACCTGAACCAATTGTTCTTTGATATGTAGCCAATGTCGTCTCTCACTCGATTCCCTGGCCATTTACACCAGATAATCTAAATGTAAAAGGTATAACCGTCGTATACCATTTGGTGTATACATTGTAGCAAATCTAATCACGGCCTCCAGAGTGGGACTAATCGTCAAATCGATCGTCAATCCATCACACTGTCTCCTGCTATCAACTTCAGAAGTTCACGGCCAGGAAATGGTGGGCTATAACTTAAAACTGTGGATGTTCACCGTGTAGCGGATGAATTGACTTCAAGTTAGCTTTAAGAAAGATTTGCAGCTAGCACTATTGTTTTTTCCAAGTTCACACAAACCCTTGATTGTGACTAGGGTTTTTGCTGCTACTTTCTATCAGGCCATATTTTGTACGACAGTAAGTTGCTCACCCAATTCCATCTCTCGTATCATTGCATTAAATTTTTATTCTTATCACTGGGATTCTCTTATTTGTTCTACGATAACCTTTCTTGAGACAACGTAAAATAAAGGTGTGAAGTTGACGCTGTAGTGACATGCAACCGTACGTTGTTCAACTAACTCAACTCACAGTTTTGGGGTTTTACGGGATAGATATTTTGTTCATAGTGACACCACTCTTGTTTGAACGGTCGTCCTCCTGTTCTGGTGTAATTATTCCAGTGAATTCACACCAAAGGGAGGAGCACTGGACTCGAGTTTTACTTTTATTAGAGCTCATCAGCAGTGCGTATCCAATGACGTTGCCGGCATTTGAACCCCGGACATCTGACATGCGAGGCGAGCGTGACACACACACACGTTGGACGCATCTGAATTTTCAAAACTTAACTTGCATGGTCCTTCAAATTTCTTAGAACGTTTGGTTGGTTGAGATTAATCAAATGCTAAGTAGGTGAAAATTCACAAGGTAGACCTTGCAAACTGATGAAACGTTCTATGATCTGCTTCTTTTCCTAAGTTCTCCAACCGTCAACAGAGGCTACCCCTATGCCCTCAAAATAATGGTTACTAGAACTTCCTTGATGGACTATGTCACTTAAACTACCATGCCTCCTGCAATAATTAACTGACCGTAAATCTGAGTAGCTCCCTTTTTTCGCCCCCACAAACTCAACCGAATTTCATCCAGGTTTATTGCATCTTGTAACTTCACCCTTCACTTCCTCTCAAATACATCGCTGAAACTGCTGGCCACTCGTTTCCTGTCCCAAACTCTTCCAGAACGCTCACGTAATCATTGTAAAACGTCCTACACACCCATTCCCATATGGAGAATATAAAAGAGAGATTTTAAGAAACTTTTTTTGACTATAGGCGGATGTCGACAGTTTTTTTTGACGTGTTGTACGACTGGGATTGCTCAGGCGTAAATCAAACTAAAGCTGCACACAATAACGCTGGTTGAGGTTGGATATTCACAGAAGTTCATGACTAAAAATCTGAAAATTTTATTTGCGCACCATTCAGAAACAACATGTCGGTCCCCAAGAAGACCGTTTGCCTACAGAGACCGTTGGTGAACCGGGCCTTTACATATAACAGCACGCCACCACCGGCTAGCTTCTTCCGTTTAGTACAACAAGTACAGTCTCTTGGTGACAATATGGTCCTTCGTTATCTAATTTTTCACAAACCGTATGTCTCAAAAAGTAATCACGCATCTGAATGAATCAGAGCCGAAGCCACGAAAGGCGTAACCAGTCAAGTGGACAAGTATCATACAGAAACAAAGAACCGGCCTATTTTGTCAAGTTCCACCCAACCACTCAATGTTTATTCCTCCAAACCGCACCCGAAACGACAGTCGAAATGATAATCTTGCTAAATCAACTCCCACGTTGCCACCGAATTGGCACCTGAAAGCATTGGCGTTGCACTAGCCCAAAAATTATTTTCCTTATAGTGTTTGAAGGACTCGATGGGAGGTCCATCATTCGAATTCCATCGGATTAAGTCCCACTCCTAAACCTTCCGTTAAGAATCCGTTATTGGCTGTTTTTATGTGAACTGAACGCATTGGTTGCCAACACTATGCTCACTATCTTGACGACACGCTGTCAGTAGGCATTTCAATGTTTGTTTACAGTTCACGCAAGGAATCCCTGCGGACAACCACTCTTCTGTTATTCGGTCTGTTCACCGATCCAAAATATCAATAATCGCAATTCCACGACTTCCTATGTATTTTGGAATCAAACAGAACTGTTGATTTCTTAAAGTCTGTGAGAACTTCCCATTTGAATTGTCAGAAAAGATCCTCCAATCATTTCCCAATACAATGTCATTTAGCACTAAGCTATTCGATTTATGAGAAAATCTGTAAGTTTCCCGACTTTGCACTCCAGTCTACACCCTACTGTGGGGCCTGTCACTATTGGTAACTTAACCTTATTTGACACCGAAAGTTTTGCACAAAGTAGCTATGGCTATTGGATGAATAAGCTACTTGGGATGTGGGCTTAGCAGCAAGAAGGAATGTGGATTTCTTCAGGTATCCTAAATCACGAGCGGCGTAGTATGTCATCCGTAACGGCCTTGCTGTTGTAATCATGTAGTCGGAATAATGAATGATTCAATGGATTCAATCAATGGATCAAATCACGTTACCCGGCTTTGAGTTCGACGTACTCTGACTGGTATATAACCGGTAAAACAACGTCCCGGGGAAACGAAAGACATCACTGTTTTTGTAATAATGCATTTCACATGCAGTGTACTCCCGAATTGCCTTCGTATTGATTCAGGAGGACAATTTGTACAAGTGATTTATTGCCAAGTTCAAAGGAGTTACAAATACGGAACTACATGTACAAATCAGTTGCTTTTGTCCATGCATACAACATTTTAATTTTTCACATGCAACAGGGAAAGGAAACATGATTGGCCGGACAAGGTTTATAGAATTTCGAAAAAAATAGGTTGGATAATTTGAAACCAGTTCTACTGAGTTGCTGGTTTGAGTACTTGGTTCTCTGCAGAGTTGCTTACAATCTTCACTTCCTTATTGTAAAAGTGATAAACATACGTGTCTAGTCAATACACTAATGACAAAAAAGGCTATTGGAATATGTGGCAAGCGAGCATGAAAATGGTATTTTGCAAAGCCATTATTCAGCATGTAAATATTACCTAGACTTGCCTAGATTAGACTTACCTAGACTTACCTAGATTTTGCCACGGAGTTCCGGGACTCATCTTTCTACAACAGGCCATGTAAATTAAATTCACTGATAGTGAATTTGCTGTTGTAGTTTCACCATCATCGTTGAAAAACTCGCATTTACTTGTATTCACCTGAAAAAAATTTGGTGGGATGTATGCACTAGGCAGATCTTCCTACCAGATGATTGAATCCGACACATTTGGCTGACTTTCGACACAAGTTCATACAGTCTTCTTCGGAAGCGATGCTTTCATCCTCACTCGTGACTACCCTCCTTTCGTTGGGGTGTTTTTTCCAGCGAAACTGTCTGTTGGGGCAGCGTTTATAGAACACATGTTCCGGTAGAGGTGGTTGGCATTCGAATGATATAGCTCCTGTTTTTGAAGACTCAACCACTGACAGAAATGCGATACCGCAGATGACGGACAGTGATATCATATTGGTTACCATGTATCTTCTCCGTTTCAGAATGCTTATCCCATATCGGGACCTTGAGTATGCTCACAACCGGTAAATTGAGCCCTGTTCAAGATACCTATTTTATTTCATTGCGGTCAGTCTGATTGGTGGATCCATCGGACTGAATAATACAACCGTTTCTGATTTGTCGTCTGCGTAATTGACCTTATTCAGATAGTCAACCGTTGAGTTTATAGAGCGCATTTGTGAGAGGATAATTTGATCGGAAGTCTGTCTTTTGTAGATGAATTCCGATGGGCAACTCTTCTTCGTAATACCTCTTTTAGTTGAGTCACACTTTGCCGCATGCCTAGGTAAACGCAAAAATATCAAACCTTTGCCGGATGATAAACCAGTTAAATGATTTGACACTCCAGTGTGTTAAAAATCTCAATGCATCTATTTCTACTTTGGTCCTACTGTGGAGCTTAAAGTAGTTTGCAACCTATCATCCCATACAAGAACGTCTGAAAAGTGCGTTCTAATTTCCTCTCAATCAGCTCACTTACCTCTATGTGTTATTAGTTCCATCGTGTAAGAAACAGTCGTTCAAACCAGTGCGGTCAGCGGTGTGAGCAAGAATCGTTTCAATCAAAATCAGTTGTGCCTCACCCGACCACGCGTGGAAATTTGTTGTACCGTTATCACGTACGTAAGCATGTGCTTCCAGAGTTAGTACATTCGCTTCTAATCCATTAAATGTCACATTTTTAGGCAACCAGAAATTGTCTTTTGGATTTTGTATGGCAACTTGAGTAGCTTTGAAATTAGTGTGGCATTTTGACGAAGACGAATCAGAAAAAGTATCTGTCATCAACTGGTAGGCTTTTTTAAAAAATAGCTAGAGTATACGTCTACTGACAAACGTTTCTCGTTCTACCTGACTGAGATAAAGTACACATGGTTTGGGACAAAGATGGCTCCTATTACCAAAAGTTTGCTCGTGTTGAGTTTAGGACCTTCGCACAGCGTGATGGAGCAGGATGTCTTGACCCCTCGTGTCAAGTGCCATTGGCAATCTTTATCATGACTTTTTCAAAATCAGTTGCGTGTTGGGCAGCTTTAGCGTCAACTCGTACTCCTGACTGTCAATCAGGTGAGAAAGGTGTGTGTAGTTGCTGGTTTTGCGTGCCATTGCGTATAGCACAGTGTGCTTTACCCAGAATTTAGCCCAGTTTGCTTTTGTGTTGGCGGAGTCCACGTTGGTGCGGTTTTTCAGGTCAGTGTTTGGCATCGGAGCTTCGTATCCTCCGGGGTATGCAGTGTGTTGCAGCCAGATGAACGACAAGCTGGCTTCAACACCGTTCACACATGTGCTCACCTCTAGTTCTTCAGCTGGGATATCCATTGACAACAGTAGACTTTATACCGTAAGCACCGGCCTGAATATTTCTACGTTAGAAGGGTTACTGTGTTTCTGTGTGTCACACCAAATTTTGGGTTAGCATTCTAATTAATGGACGCCACTCATTTAGTATTAGATAGTTCTAAGGTAAAATGTCCAGTCACCCCCAGTTTGCTGAATTGTGTTCTTGTGCCTAAACTAGTTTAAACCATCTAGTCAGGGTAGCACTGGAAAAGCCACTATCGTACTTGAACAACGCTGTTAGAAGCTCTTCTGTTCCTGCTGTACAGCAGCGTCTCAGGACAGCAAAACAAGGTGTACTTCAGAAAAGGAGGTGAGATTCAAATTCACATACACTAGGTTGTGTTGAGCCGGTAGGAAAAGACAAACATGCTTTTGTTACTTCTGTGTACAAAGTTTGCAGACTTACTCCCGATGACTCCACTAGCAACTGGTTTCTTGGTGGTACTTGTGTAAGACTGTTTTCTCAAAGATTTTCCGCTGTTTCGAAATTTGGTGGGTAATCAGTAAATCAAGTCATGAGTTCCCCGGTCTATTCCTGGCGATGCTTATTTCGTCTGAGTGATTATTCAAACCGTCAGTGGAATCACCTTCGAAATTTGGCTCATTGAAATTACTGAACTTGTGGGTTAGGAAACGGGGAATTTGCCTCCTAAGCTCCTCCGGGAAGTAAGTCAGTATTCTGCGCCGAAAGACAAGATGGTGAGTATAGATGAAGTCATTCTAAAACGCCGACGATTTCGGACAGAAACTCGCCATCGGTAGCTAATTTTCCCATAATCATTCAGATTTCAAGTTTACGCATCTGTGGGCAGAGTGATAACAGAAAGTTATGTACTGAAGTCCAAACACGCTGGCACTGAGGAACACAATGTAGTCGCTACGTGGCTGCTGAATATGATAACTGTCATCTGTATGCGTTGGCTTCAAGGTGAGTGGGCCAATAAGTTGTCCTCCGATAGGCTGAGACGTCCTATTTGACATTGGAACTTCCCTTGTCAGCAACAGTACCCAACAGAATAATGGGTAGCTCCGGATAGAGGGAATATTTCAGATCAGGGCTGATGCTATCGGTTGGTGTGTGGACCGAAATGTACAAATAAGGACTGGATGTAATGAAGACTAGTGAGTATCCTAGAAAAGGTTGAAAAATGGTCCGCAAAAACCTAGCCAGTTAGTGAAATCCAATTAGAAAGGGAAGATTTGGCTCATCAGAAGGGAACTAAGCAAAGCATTCGTAGCATGACACAGCAGCTTTAGAACCGAGTTTTGGAAAAGCAACAGTCTATTGTTAAACTGCCAAGAGTGTCTGCTAAAGCGCCCTGTTTGTCAAACTGGTTTGTATGGTTTGAATGCCAAAGATTGGCATGGAGACCGGGGGACGAGGCTTTGGAATTGGAAATGAAGCAGTGGGTATGGGCAATGGTGTTCCTGTAGTTCATTTATTGGTCTAATGAGCAACATGTCTTCACATGAGACCTGCAACAAAGAGGTTTGTAAGAAGAATGGGGAGAAATAAAGGGCATATTGTTAAAAAAGATGTGAACTGTTTTTGGTGGCCCAATATTGTTGTATGCGACACGTACTTCAACCTTGTTGATAGCACTTGCATTTACCAATGCAAGATAAAACAAATGGTTTTTTTATGGTCCGTTTTAGTAAGTGGACTGGGTTGCAGTCATGGCGCAAAACTTGGATTGGAGGACGTACAAACCTGGCCGGAGAAGCTTTGTTTGAATTAATAATACTGCATTAGTCGAAAATTCAAAGGACGAATGAGCCCACGTGTTCTAATTTTTGAGATACAGATAAAGATAATGACTGTGTACTTCCAAACGCCACTCACTAACCAATGTTGTAGTAGAAACACTGTGCCACACGAGGAATCACCAGTATAAAACGATGGGCAAAGGAGGCACACAAGCCTTTACACCGTGAGGAAGCACAGCCTAGCCGTGATAGTATCCAAGTAGCCTATAATCTGGTGAACAAACCTCTCCCCACATCCGTTGGAAGGTGGAGTTTATTACGCGAATTATGGAATCGCTTTGCAGTGTACATTTACTAGCGTTGACATCATAGCGAAGGTTTCCTCCTTTCACTAGTAACTCGAGTGGATCTGTTCCTCGGGAATTTCAGCTGATAACGCACTGACTACGTTTTCTTGGGTTGTAAAGAAACTTACGCCAAGCTTGACAAACAGTTATACTACCATTGAAGTGTACGAATTCATTTATTTTATAAATCTTTGCTCTCCCATTCGGTTAACCGAATTCAGCACTGCGTGCTCATCGATAAGCCAGATCCAAACAATGGGTCACAGTGAACAGCAAGTGGAGTTTACTCAATTTCCAGCTCCACAGTGTTGTTACAATGAATTCACTCATACACAGAACACATTTTTGGAGTGGGAACAAATGTATACGGAAAATTCAATGACTGGTCCTTGCAACTGCAAAATATAAGAGGGCAAGCTGATAAGCGATAGCTAAACAATTTCCGAGTACAACCACACAAAATGCGAGGACGTTGTAACTACATACAAGGGATTAAAGAAAATGGGAATCGTTAGATTGTTGCCACCATGACTGTGCGATTTCGCAGTCCTGTTTGTCTGTATCTTACTGTGCAATTAACTTGCTGTGTAGAGGCTATTTTGGCCGGGTACCAACAAATATCGCCTAGCTAGTCAAGTCATTTATTACCAATCAAAATTTAGCTAATGAATTTATCGAAATCAGGTTTGTTCACACAAAAACAAATCTGCTATGATCCTTATTGCTCGTGCAAACACCCCAACTGATTGTGTTGCACACACAATGTTGTTAATTACACTACATGAAAAAAACGTGTGTGGTCCTCTAAATGTGAATATCCAAATTGGTCGTGTCACGCGGGAAACGCTACGACTCGCTTGAACTGATAGATTAAACCTTCCCACCTGTTGTTTATTCTGGTCATCAGTGGTTTTGTGTTCACCGTACAACTGAAATAAGGACTGTTTCCCAGATGGCATACTAGAAAACCTACGGTACAGAATTCTGGGAAAACATTTACTCGTGTAGTCATATGCTGCTAAAATTTGGGCTAGTTCATACACGAAAAGCAGTAGGTTTCACAGAAGAATCGAGGCTACCAGCAGGTGACGGAAAATTGTAATGCAGCAATCCACTACTCTTATGTCAACCTGTCTTGACCTCCATTCTTTTCCGACGTGGATTATTTTCCTCGCTCTCAAATTCAACGACCAACAAGTTAGTGATTCTGTCTGCCCTGAAATGTATAGACACTCTGGGCCATACAGGCCTTGGTGTGTGGTGCCAATTTTAATGTTAGGAGTACCGAGAAGTTTCCAGAGCATTCGCATCAAAGTAACATCTTAAATTAGGACTTGAATACGGTTTCGGAACTGAAGATAATACAGTAATTTTAACAGTCAAACCATTCATATGGCAATTGATACCAAGGGATTCCCAGGCTTACTGACAGTAACTAAGATCAAACTGCAGTTTTATAGAAAATAATTGGGTGCTCTATAGTTGCAAACAGTTCAACAGGTGTCCTTTTTAAGGCGAAACTCCTAACTTTAAAGGAGCTTGCCTACCCAAGCTTTTAAAACAATGACAACCAACGGTATATACTTGGAGAAATTCGAAGAAAACTAGCTTAGGAGGTTTTAGCACTTCGTCAAGTGGAGGCGGATATTTATCCCTTTGGTCTCCATGTTATCATGAAAGGACGAATGAACGAATTTTCACTATATGTTGTATGATTTATATACCATATATTGTATGGGTATACTGTAGGGGCTGTATTGAGGATATACTGGCCATTTCCACTGATAAGGCACCAGCCATTAGGTTTGTCCATCGTCTCAGTAGCATTCATCCGAGGAACTTGATGATTGTCACCAGTGAGTGAATATACTTATTACGCGAAAACTTTCAGAGAATATATACACAATTAGGAAAAAAAGGTGAGCGCATTTCGCGTGCTCTAACCCTCTGAAGCGAAAACGCAACACCTCCAAAGTTCTGTTATCACGATATACACATCGGATTCGATTGAAGCTAAACCTTAGCTGTTCAAGAAAACCTTGAGGCAAACTAGATGTCCTGTGCAGTGAAATGAGGCAAACGTATCCAAGACTGTATGTATAGAATTCTACTTCAAGAGGGATAAGTCAATTACTCGGGCAGCCGAAATTCTGGCGTCGGCTTTTACTAAAACGCATTGCGCTGGGGTAATCGGGTCCCAATACTCACTCATGGACAATAAGTAAACATATTGGTTCTATATCACAATGTACGCACCAGTTCACATGAAACTGCTAAGGAAGTTACATTTAAAAAAAAACTCATTCAGCTGTAGCCCCCTTTCGGTGCCTAGCTGCCATGCCACCCAAAGGAGGCACAATGGATTGTATACTGCCAAGTTGCCCAATTCTAGACAGAAGAATTCGAGAGGCACAGGTCGGGTTCGAACGACGGACCTTCCGGTCAGTAAATTTGCGCTCTAAACACTGACCCATCTTACCACTGAGCCATCTCGTTACGTAGGGAGAAGTGATAAGTGTCCGACCTCCAGAAAAAGAAGACAATTTTTTTTCGTTTCAGAATCTCATAACCACTACCTGATTGGAAGCTACGGCAGTCAGCTTTGATTTGACCTCAACTTCAAGCACAAAAGCTCCCCCGTTTTCATATCCAACAAGGCTTCTGCAATGGGTGGATTCTAACCTTTATTGCACGTCCAAAATATACAAGAGGTCTGTATGTGTACCGTTTCATTTATTGACAAAATACAGGGCCTAATTATTTTGTTTTCTTGCCATTGATAGTGTCCTAGAGACAAGCCAATACGAAATGGGTGCATCTGTTAGTTCACATACACTAGCTATGTTGTTTCAATTAGTGAAGGTAAACAAGCTTTAGATGTTTGTTAGCCTGTGTGGACTACGCTTTCAGCGCAGCAGTGCGGGA